TCACAGGAATATTTAAACCTCTAAGTAAAAGAAATTCTAATGTCAGTCTAAACACTTCCAGAAGTTAATGAAAGTAAAAATAACGAATTCTTTTGGGGCATAAATATTTACAAAGAACAATGTCAAGAATTTCATAAAAGTCAAAATAGAAAACTTGCATGTAACAAATAATTGAACAACTGGATCAAGAATTATAGCGTTAATGAAAATCTGACTTGAACATAGAGCCATCTAAAAGTGCCTTCAGAATTCTCATTACTTTGAACATTAAGAGTCCACAGAAATGCTAATGACATTATTAAAATGAAATCAGCAGGAATGTGACTAGATAATTTGATACAAACCATCATAAACAAACATAACCAAGCAAACATGCAATTTTTAACTACAAAGGTAACAATTTAATAAGGGTAGGCTAAAAGCTGCACCACTTGTGCGCTAAGGGTGTTGGAAGTTTCCATTCATTAATTGTTGGTGACATTAGTAATTTTGTAAATGTTGATCAAGGTGGTACATTAAGCCACAGGTTAAAATAACAGTTTATTTTACATGCAAAGGGGTTCAATAACTTGAAAACAAAGATTCTGTTACGTTTGAAAATTTTGCGCTCTTTTTCATAATACATATGCAGATTACCAATAGGTCACCTCGATAACATTCATGCAATCTTTCAAGGGAGGGAGAGGATTCCATATTTTCTCCAAGGGAGGTTGTCTGGGAGCATCTTAGTATGTCTCAAAGGATTCAAGAAGAAAACTTCATGGAAAGTAAGGCATAAAGACAGAAATCTCTTATTAAACAAGAAAAGTGATTTTAGAAAAGAAATAAAACACAATAAAGACAAGGACAGGATATCCTCCTAAGAAGAAAAACTACAGGACAACAGGGAACCTGAGTGCCAAAGAAACTACCAAATTGCATCATTTTAGCATCCTTCATTAATATATTAAAACACAATAAATTGATAACATTATCACATGCTTTAAGATCTATAAGGCCTGAGCAACACAATTCTTTTTCTTCTGCTTCACATTGTATTTTATAAAGGAATATCCTTGTAAAGATGTCTCCCCATGTTAATAAGACTAAAAAGTGCAACGAAACTAAATGACACATTGAAAATATTGGTGATCATGAAGCAATACCCCGAAGGCTAGACTTGAAACCACAGCTAGTCAAATGCTCTGCTAGCGCCTCTCCTAATTGCTTTTGCCAATTTGGCACAGTTTTTGCTTCAGATACAGGCCAAACTATTGCTGTCTCTGTTGTTAGATTTACAGTAGCAGATGACACTTGAGGCTGTCCTTAAAACAACATATAAAGAGCATCAATTTAGATACAGAGATGAAAAGCATTAAATGCTTTTGAATTGAAAGCAAACATAGCATTTTAAGAGCAATACATGTTTTCTTTCTTTTATCTTTGTTTTCTATTCATGTTGTTAAGTAAAAGAGAGTATCAGGGATATATAACCTTGAAACCCTGTTTCACATTTGCACTTAATTCAACTTAGGTTTAGGGCTACTTAGGCTGCATTTGGCAGCACGGATGTGGAATGTGAGAGATATTCTACAGGGGAAATAATCATTGATCATTTAAATGTAACTGCTCAATGGTAAGGAGCCCTAAATTTTTAAATTCACAACAAGCCAGACTTCTTTACCAGGATTATTTGTCTGCTCCTTTTCTACCCCTTAGGCCAAGTGCCATCACCCTTTCTCTCTTCTTGGTGATATTTCCAAAAGGATTTATGATTTTACCAAAAATGTAAATGGTCTCATCAGAGTCCAGGGGCTTAAGGGCCATAGAACTGAAGGTGTATTGTAGAAGAAACATATAAGTATTTTAGAATGGTAAATCGCCATGATTTGGCAATTTCCAAGGTCATAACATGGTAAAACACCACGTTTTTATCATAGTATTGATGCCAGATGCAAGACAATCCAATGACCTGGAGCAGTAATTTAAGGAGCTTTGGGCTTGTATAAAGTTCAAAGACGGCAAATTCCCAGGCCACAAGGTACAAGACCAATGTCCTTCTTACATCCTCGGATGGACACTGGACCGACATCATGGTTTCCAGGCTTCAGTAACCCAAGTAATCATTCAAAACACAATCAATCAGTTCCTCCCCGATAAGTCACATCTGCCGCTATTTGCCAATGGATTCTCTGCAGTTACTCCTCAGTGCCCCTGCAACACTTTTGGACTCCATCTCCGCCAACTCATTTCCAAGCCATATTCTTACATGCAAGCAATTAAACATATGCGTGAATTTTAATTATGAATTCCGAAGTTCTAGGACCTGAGAATCCAATCTTGCTTTAAAATATCTAAGCAATATTTTGCCGCCATTATATTGTTCAATATAATTCATACTCATCAAGATCGCCAAGTCCAATCAGTTTGCTGACTAAACTTAAATAACACCCGTAAGAGGTGAATACTCCCCACATTTTTCCTTCTAATACTGCAAAGCAATCAGACAAATTAAAACAGGAGCAACTTACTCGACTTTCTAGAATTCTTTTCACATTAGCCGCACATCCCCCGCACACCATTCCCTATCAGAAACAGCAGGATATAAATTTAAATTTAAAGTAATAAAAACATAAAAAGAAGTAATATCCACCTCAGAGATCACGTAATGGAGTGCGAGAGAAGCTCATACCGCAACATCGAGAATGATAACATCAGGCGAAAGCGCCGAAAGTTCTTTACCACCATCACCAACTAATTTGGGATTGGCGTCTCCCGAACCACCACCGGCACCACCATCTCCACCACCACCACCACTCCCCCCTCCAAGCCTGCCATTTCCAGCGCCAGAAGAAGCAAACGGAGCAGCAGAGCTCGAAACACACCGGAAACGATAGGGCAGTCGAGTGGCAACCGCACACAAGCTCCTGAGCGAGTGGGAAGAAGAAGCAAAAGAGCTGGAGTTGCGAATAGCATGGTTATGAGAAAGGCATTTAAGCCTGTGATGGAGAAGAACAGTGGGAATGCATTGACTAGAAGGCGCTCTGCAGAAATGGCGATTCAGAGCTCTGAAAAGCGCCATATGCGTGGAATCCATTGCAGTTGCAGAAAGTCCTTCTGCGCTTAGACACCACTATTCTATCTGGCCCCCATCTTCTGGTTCTGGCGGGCGATGACTTGGCCGTTTTGGACTTTTGGATAAAAAGGATGACATTTGCAGTAGACAAAACTGATTTCCAGTCAGGATTGTAGAACTATGTTTGAAATTTGGATTTTGAAATTTAATAATAATGCACAAATAGTTGTAATAAAAAATATTTAATTTGATTCTAAAACTCTAATTTATTTTATCTCTCATATTTATATATATATATATATATTTTTAAGATAGTTCTTTTAATAATAGTAGTTTTAACCAATACTCTTGATAGGTAAATATTTTTCAAAATATAAGCTAAACTTTATCCATTATGTTTATCAAGAAACTAATTAAAATCAATTTAAAATAATAAATATGTAAGCCATATATTTATTTTTCTAATATACCCTTATTAATGAAGAGAATAAGTAAAAGATGTAATAAATGAATTAAAGAGGAAAGAAAATACATGGGGGTAAAATTGAAAAAAACTAATTAAATGTTTGGACAAAAATGAATATTATCTTATAAAAATAAACCAATCCTTTTAAGAAAGTTTAGCTTATATTTGAACTGGAGAGTATATTTTAAAAAAGACAATACATATTTATTACAAATAACTAATTTAATTTATTTTTTTAATATACTCAAATTAGTTAATTAACTCTTATATTTAGGATCAGGGCTAGTAATATTTACATTGAAACCTTAAGTAAGATTGACTCCAATAAAAAATATATGTGTTTATTAAAAAATAGTAATAAAAAAATATTGATACAAAAACAACGCAATATTTTTATTTGTTATTTTTCATTTAACAAAACAAATTCGTAGTTTTAGATCTGTAATCCCCATCTTAAAAATTGGACTAGACTTAAGAATGCTCAGTTAATTTTAATTTATAAACATTTATCTTTAAGTATAAAATTCATTAATTTTAATTTTAACAATTTTATGAAATTTGTCAAAAAAAATTCATTTTATTTAACGTCGTTTTAACACTTGCGCATCTTTATAAATGAATTTCATACGGTTTAAGAATTAAATTACTAGATTAAATTACACCAGAAAAAACATTACTGGATTAAATAATGAGGATTCAATTTAAACAAAATAAACCATAGAGCCTGATTTAAAATAGAAGTGAATTATAATGCCTGTAGCCACTCCACATTCTGAAATATTAGCTGCATTGTGAAACTTGCCCCTAAGTATTTTCTTGAATAAATTAAGATTGTTTCAATATCTAAGGGCATGATAAGAAAAAATTTTGGGGAAAATTTTGAATTTCTAAACAAATTTATAAAATGAAACAACAAATTTATATGGTAAAAGGACTTATATTTAATCAATTTTTTTTGGAGCAGTCTCCCATTTTATAATATAAGATGTTTTGGAAAAAGAATGATTTACTCAATACTTTCGAGGATCACAAAGGTATTTTCTGAAATTTCTACTTGTATTTCAAGATGTAACGTTCCTAACCATATTTAATGCCTGGCCCAAAAAAACCACATTTAATGAAATTTATTAGTTTTTATAACTTACTTTAAAAATGTTTTATAAAACATCTTTAAGTTTGCCTTCATTTTGGTTTTAGTTTCTCAAATTTCAAACTATAAGTTTTGATTCTTTAAGAAGCAAAATAGTTCAACTTTTTATTGAATTATGAGGACTAATATTTTAAATGGGAAAAAGACTTAAGACACTAAAATTTATGATTTAAAACTTAAAAAATTAAAACCAAAATGAAAGCGAACTTGAATGAGCGAAATTTGTATTAACCTTTATTTATTTATGTGAAAATCAACTACTTCTTTTCTGGTTGATTAGGCATGTTCTTCATAATTAACAACGAAGCAAACACCAATTTTTTTAATCCTCTTCAAATTCCTTTTTTTTGGGAGAATCTAAAAAAAAAATTAAAATTACTAAATTTCAAATAAGAAATTTTTACAAAAATGTGTTATTATTTGTAAACTCATTATTATCAAAACTTAGTAAAATATTCTTATGACTTAAAATTTAATAATTTTAAACTTTTTTTGTGAAATTCTCCCTTCTGTTCTTTGAACTCCAACATAGTATTTCTTTTCCAGTTTTTTTTTTGGCCAACTTTCTTTTGTAATTATAATAACGATGTCCAAGCAATGGATCTACACTTATATATTGATTTGAAAAATAAATAAATAATTCATTTTAAAGTTTATTGTCAGAGTCTTGAAAATTTAATTTGCTGAAATTTGGCCAAAACAATTTGCTGAAAATCCTTATTACAAAATTTATTGCCTAGAGCATCTAAAATTTATTTAAGAATTTAGGTAAAAGTACAACATATTTTTAACAAGTACAAGTTTTTCAACTGTATGTATGCAGCTGATATTCAACTGTATGTAAAATGAAATATATTTGCACATAATTGAATTGAAAATATGTTGCCCATAAATAAAAAAGAATTGGACTGGTTAAAAATTAGTAACACCCGTTCAAACACTAGAGTCCTAAAATATTTTTGGACAATAAATTTTATAATGTAGATTTTTTTTTCCCAGCAATTTCCCCTAATTATCAGGGCATGCATGGTAAAACCGTAAAAGACATGTTTTGAATGTTTGATTTTTTTTTCCTAAAGAGATTTAAGGTACATTTGTTATTGATAATCAATCATCAACAACCAACAACTCTACACATGATACATCATTTAATTAACGTGAAAAAAAAATAAAAGGGGTAATTTGGGGAAAAAAATACTCAATGATAGCCAAGGGGAGCTGGTGCCTCTCTCAATTCCTTTCCTTGATATTGTATATCCTGTTAACCAAAAAAAAAAAACGATAACATTAACACGAAAGGAAACCTAATCCTAACAAGAAATATTATAATAGACTCTATTTTTTAACATATAAATTATAAAATTGATCACAGCAAGTCCCCAGTACCTTTCACTAAGAAAGAGTATATATTATAAAATCTATATATTTTATTCAGGAAAAAAGTTCACATTTTTTAGGAAAGGACAAATAACACATGGGTCCCAAAAGATTAATTTAATAATGGTAGGTCTCAGAAAATATTGCTGAGGAAATTCTGGGTTGCAAATATATAGAAATTCAAACAATAGTAAATATAAAAACCTTAGTTGTAAATAAGAAATTTAAATAAAAATTACTCCTAAAACGAACTTCAATATTTGTAATTTGTACATCTTATTTGTCAAAAAAAATTCAAGATCTAGATAACACCCCAAAGTACCAAATACCCAATTCAACACAGTTTTTTAAATGCTTGTTTGGAACGGTGATTGAAAATTTCAAAAGCAGCTTTTTTTAATCGTAATTCTTAATATAAAATGTAAGTATATGAAGGTAGTTTTGTCTTAGTTTACATAAAAATACTTATAAGATCACCCCTAACTCTTAATTGAAGAGCCAATGAAAGGTTAGATTTTATCTTAAATATAAGATCCTAATCGATTTTATTTTCCATCTTTTTCAAAAATATTCCTATTAATTGCAAGGTGTTCCTACCGAAGAAATAATTCTAATCATCCAATGTACATAATTGAAGAGGATAGTTTCCGAAATCAACACATATATAACAAATAACTAACTTAACTAATTTTCTTAATATCTTCAAATTAATTATCTATAGCTTCTATGTTAATGACTAGAGCCAGTATTTACCTATAATAATAAGTGCTGATATTAAGTAGTTCCAAACAAAACATCACTGACTCTAGTTCCTCAAAACCAGATCTCTCAGAAATGAGAGGAAAGGAGAAGGGTAGTGAAGAGATGGACAAAAGAAGACTTACAGAAGCAAAGTGATTGACATCACGATGGTGAGCTTCGTCAGCACGGATAACAGTAACAACGTCTTTAAGAGTGGCATCCTTAGGAAGCCTCCAATAATCAATAGCAATGGCAGGAGCAGGAACATTCTCCACCTTCCCACTTTCAATGGCCATCAAATGCTCAGTATAAGAATTCACAGCTTCCTCCTCCAAGTACCCAACGAACCTGTGAGCCACTTTTGGGGATATCACGTAGAACAGGAAGAAGGCATTGAAGAACACTCCCTGTGCTGTAATCACCAGTAGCCTCTCGTGCCAGCTTGGCTTTACCAGCTCCGCCATTGTCATTAAGTGCATCCTCTCGTTCTCTGCTTCTTCTAGGAGAGCCTTGATCCACCCTCCGCTGTGCTGGAACTTCCTCAGTGACTTCAGGTGCAGCATCATCCCTCCCACCATCCCCGGCACCCCCGCGATCGTTTCTAGCATCATAGCGTGGCACCCGTATCGCTCCTGAAAATTTCATTATTCACTTCATCAGCATTATAGCAAGTCCAATAATTATTCTAATAAGTTGTCATAGATGAGATATTATGCTTTAAATCAGTATTGACGGGTTTTGAGCTTCTAATGTGTCTCCCTTTAATGCCTTTTACAATACCTCTAACTTCCCAAATTTTTTTTTAAATTTTGTTGCTTAATTATTAAATTCTATGTAAAATCAGTAACATTTAGTGATAAAATGGTGCGGTTTGGATTTTTTTAATAATTTTTTTAAAAAAATATTTTAAAATTACACGGTTTTAATTTTTTTAAAAATCATAAAAATTTAAAACCAAACATTTCATCATAATAAAATATCAAAATGTCATTCTTTTTATATAGAATGTATGGTTAAAAGAAAAAGGAAATGGATAGAGACATTTAAGAGGTTGGGGAATTATATAAAGTAATAAAGAGAGGCACATTAGAAACCTCGAATCTAGCATATTGACATGTTTGTGTGTTTAAATTCATTGGATCCCAGAAAAACTATTCACAAGTCATATGTAGATCCGGCTCCTTAGTTGTCGTGTAGTAACATGGGAAAACATGCCTAGTTATTAGTACTACTTGGCTGCGGCATTATTATATGAGGATGGAATGCTTATACTTCTCAAATTGAGATCTGATCAACTTGCCTCTCTAAACTGGGATATAAAAGACAACTACATATATATGTATATACTGAGACAGGAAAAAGAGCACAAACCTTAAAATACAGATGTGATAGAACATTAAGGAATTTCACTGTCCTGAAAGCAAGTTTGTCCCCGAAAGTAGTAGGCACATGATGCTTTGTTATATCGATCGACAAATCTGCATGGTAAGTGTCCCATGGCTGCCAAACAAACACACATAATTACTAATCATTCTTAGTTAATTACTCAATTAATCACTGTTTTATACTTAAAAACAACAAAGTTTACAGATGTAAATATCAATCAAATAATTGTCGTTAACTATATAGTACCGCGAAACAGTTCCAAGGCCACTCAGTCCCGTCGTCTCTTTTAATCTTCGGTCGGGAAATCCCCCAGTAGCTTGAAACGGCGCCGTTTCCGTTCTCCTGCTTCTTCTCCGATACCGTTCTCTCCTGCTGCTGCGGCTGCTTCTCAGCCGGAGACGCCGCCAAGGTCGACGACATCCTCGGCCAGTAGCCATAGAGATGGCGGAGTTTCAGCTCCGGCGCCGATGATGCTGTCACAATATGGCGGGTAAAGTTCTGGGATCCGCCGGAGACCAGAACTCGCGCCACCACAGATTTCACCAGAAAGTGCTTCATGATGATGATGATGATGAAGTGTTTGTTGACCTACTATATGATTGTGATGAGCCACTTAGAAATAATGGAGACCTTTATATAGAAAGTTGGGAATAATGATTCCTTTACGTAGTCCATTTTTTATTTACCATTTGGTGGGATGGAGAAGAGCCTCCATTATTGAAGGAAGGAAGGAAGAGATGCTCAATTACTTTAAAAAAAAAAAAAAAAAAACGCCTGGCGAAGGTGTCGAGATCATCTGGACTGTTCCGAGATGGGTGAGCCGTTTGATGGGTCTTAATTTGAATCATTCGACGGCTGGGATCAAATGAAATGTAATACTATTACTAGTGTGCCACCCTGAAAGCGCACGTGGTGGGTTGGCTTCGTTGTTTCGCTATAGCAGGATGAATCCAGAATGGATTCAATCGATTATTTTTCTCTTGCCCTCAATTTTTGATAAAAATAAAACGGAAAATATGAAAAGTTGACTTGACTATGAAATTATGTTTATATCCTGTGTGATTAAATAAAATATTCCTCTAATCCTAAATATAAAACATATTTTATAGTATAATTCACTCTATAAAATGAGTTTTATATTTAGGATTGGAAGGAATAATTAATATAATATAGAACAAAGGGTTTATGATAAATCGAATATGATTTACAGCTGAGATATAGTTCCCACGAAAAATATTGATATATAGTTCTCTTAATAGAAAAATAGACACCATTTCATTTATTTTCCAGCGAGTCCATGGCGCATTTTTACATTTTTAGAAATTAGTGATGGCCAAAACACAATTTCCCAAAGTATTTTTTGATAACATCCTTGTAATTTTTCTATTTTCAAAAGAGAGTAATCGGCCCTCTAATCTCTTTTATCTTTCACATTTGTCTTCTTTAAGATTATTTTTATTAATTGCATACATTAATTACAAAAGTTTATAATATAATTATTAAAAGAACAGATGTTTTAGAATAAGTAACACGTATTTTTTTTATAAACAATTAAATTGCTTAATTATTTTTAATTTATATGAATTTCAGAATTTCTTATCTAATCCTTATATTTATAATCAGATAGAGTATTTCATTAAAAATTAAGAAATATTTTTTTAATGAAATTATCATCATGATGAAGGAGCAAGCTTACTAGAAGTTTCCTGGTGCTGGGGAAACGCGCATAATGTGGTGATCAGGTCAATTCAATCAAAACAAAATTGCAATTGGTCAAAAGTGCTGCCATGGGGTATGCTCGCGGCCAAAAATGCTGCTCGTAACGTTTGAAAAGTCAAGACATTTGAATTGACTTTTCGGGCTGCGCTGACTCCCCATCAATGGGAAATTGGGAACAGGAATGGTAAAGATGCTGCGAACTTGCGATTGATGAGGTTGGGGCGCGTCGAATGGTTATTGGTTTAGGGTATGTTTGGGTTATATTTTTATTTGAATTGATTTTTGTAGAAAAGTCAATTTAGTAAGTTAAAATTTGTTTAGATAATCAATTAAAAAAATGTGAAATATTAAATACTATATATGTATATTATAGTAATATGTAGATAATTTTAAGAGAAATATTAAAATTAAAAGTTATAAATATAAAAGGGAAAACCATTTCACAAAGTATCTAAATCTATATTCTCTCTCAATTTTCAATTTAGTATTTACC